ACAACATAATAACCTGCTATTAAATGTAATAATAAAAATAAAAGCAACCTTTACCAACTGGAGTAATTCAAAGGTTTCAGTCCTGTGGAGGCAAGATGTGCTTACTAAAACATTAAGACCAAACGTCCACCAGCGGCCACATCCATCTACATCTGTGGACCAGGTGAAGACAGGCACTGAAGTTAAAGCCATGACTGAACACTGTGAAAGTCTACACAGTGCTTGATAAAGAGTCTCAGCAAGGCTAAAAACAAGAGCCCACAAATGTGTTTCTCTGAGAATGAGAGAAATATTTACATGAGGAAGTTGAGACTTGGCAGTGCAAACCTAAAGTGTGGTGGAGCAGAGTGTCTCTTTATTTTGCTTTCAGGAAGAAAGGGCACACTTACCTGTAGTCTATATGGGAACCTGGGCTGGACGATAGAGTGAATATGTTAACTTAGATTTTGTGGGTGAGACATAACATTTTTTTTTGATGTGCTATTCATTTCTCCATGAAGCTTTCTAAAGACAGTTTCAGATTAGACAAAACTGAATAATTCCATTGAGCGATCACCCGAAACTTTTTATAGGAGGGTTTGTGATATTTTATATATTAAAGTGTTTACATGCATAACATTTAGGTAAAAACTGACTCACACAGAATCACTTTCAAACCAAGTGGCTATCTGTTGATCCAGGGCTTGAATTTTGGCGCGGGATTGCGCATAATTCTACTGATTCCTGCAGTTTCCATGCTTGTAACGTGGGAAATTCCCGCAAATATTTCAGCGTGAAAGACGCTCGGGACAGATGACGGAATGTATCATTTTGCATGTGTTTCTGAGCCTTACCATTTTAAACATTAAAGTGCTTGATTCAGTACTTGTGTACTCTCTGTGAGATCGCTTTTTGTGAGCAAACACCCAAAGCGTGCGCACATAGAGCCGCATTTGAGAGCGCGCGATTACAGAATGAAGTTGTGTTTCGCCTTATTGCGCGTAAACGGCCAAATACATACAAAATTAAGTCAAAATGCCCATCTTGATGAGTATTCACGTAAACAGTCGATTTATACTAAACACTGTCGGTATATAGGCTATTAAGTGAATGTAAACATTTGAGAAACAAAACTTGTGTAACAGTATATGTTAGATCCGTGCATGAGGTCTTAAAGGTGCAGTTGGAGATCTTGGAAAATGCTAACTTTAGCCTGATAGCACTGAAAGCGAATGTCCCACCCTCCCCGCAATCGCAGTCCAAAGACACGCCCCCTGAACGCATATACGCTCACAGACCAGAATACCAACATTACTACAATAGGCTGCATCAGCGGTTCCTAATTCCAGCCCATGTTTCGAAGTGAAGTTCAACGGATTTCCCCTGCTCAGGGAGTAGGGAGCAATGGACACTGTGTAGGGATCATATTGATCGGAAGTTTCCATGCTTGTAACGTGGGAAATTCCCGCAAATATTTCAGCGTGAAAGACGCTCGGGACAGATGACGGAATGTATCATTTGCATGTGTTTCTGAGCCTTACCATTTTAAACATTAAAGTGCTTGATTCAGTACTTGTGTACTCTCTGTGAGATCGCTTTTTGTGAGCAAACACCCAAAGCGCGCGCACATACAGTGGTGTGAAAAAGTGTTGGCCCCCTTCCTGATTTCTTATTTTTTTGCATGTTTGTCACACTTTAATGTTTCAGATTCGCCTTATTGCGCGTAAACGGCCAAATACATACAAAATTAAGTCAAAATGCCCATCTTGATGAGTATTCACGTAAACAGTCGATTTATACTAAACACTGTCGGTATATAGGCTATTAAGTGAATGTAAACATTTGAGAAACAAAACTTATGTGTAACAGTATATGTTAGATCCGTGCATGAGGTCTTAAAGGTGCAGTTGGAGATCTTGGAAAATGCTAACTTTAGCCTGATAGCACTGAAAGCGAATGTCCCACCCTCCCCGCAATCGCAGTCCAAAGACACGCCCCCTGAACGCATATACGCTCACAGACCAGAATACCAACATTACTACAATAGGCTGCATCAGCGGTTCCTAATTCCAGCCCATGTTTCGAAGTGAAGTTCAACGGATTTCCCCTGCTCAGGGAGTAGGGAGCAATGGACACTGTGTAGGGATCATATTGATCGGAAAACAGTTCATGCACGTAGCTCACTTCTAACGAGCTGTTTATCTGAATCGGGTGTGTTAACTAAGCGAGAAATATGCAGAGCGGGGGGCGCGAGGACTGAGATTGGGAACCGCTGGGTTACATCATGTGTCATTCACCGGTGAGAAACCTTTAAAAGTACTACAATACCAGGAAGGAAGATCGGGTTGTTGATGTCTGCCATTCTCGCTCTGTCTGCAGTGTGCGTGAACGCGCTGATGACGTATCCTGTCTGCGCGAACCTGGTGCGCAGAGGTATGCTAACACATACGTTTGACAGGCAGGTAGGAAAGCCAATTAAAACGCTCGGACCGAGTGTCCTACGCCTTCCACAGAATATATAAATGCAGATAAATACATTTAGACCACTTAACTTAATGATTGCTATAGGGATGTGAAGAGACTTTCAACCAGCATAACAAAAAATGTTTCTGAAGACAATCACCTATTGCACCTTTAAGACTCGTTCACAGGGGGAATTCCCCCCCATTTTCCAAAACAAAATTCAGGCCCTGTGGTCAACACCGCAAATTTGCATTGCAAAATCTTTTGGAAATCTTTCACCCTTACACCAAACTCCCAGTTGCATGGATTCTTATTACATTTACACACTACAGTTTTCTAAATTTAAAAGTTAATTCTTTTCAGATTCAACATTTATTATCTACTGAGCAACAATGGCTGATTGAATAAAAGATTACTTTAAATGTTTAAAAGATTCAATGTTCCTGTGATTGGGAGAAACTACCTAGTCGATTTAACCTAGTGTTTCCCAAGCAAATACAGAATGGAGTCATCTAATGCATGTTATACATGTGACTGTAATGCTGGTTAAATTAATTTAGCTCCAAAATGACTACAAAAACATGCCGGATTCAGAAAGCCCAGCTGGCAATAATGTAGCCCTCTCTGAGGAGCTTCTATGAGAATCTGTTTAGTAAAGAGGGGTGACCTGACTAGTGCCAGTTTTCAACATTTGGTTAGAGGCTCTCCAAACCATGGAGGTCCGCTCACTCACACAAGCTTAGAGATACATGATAGTTCTGGTCCATGCAGACTAGAAATCATGTTTGAAATAGAAGCACCTAGCGTAAAACTGAGACCCAAAAAGATGTTACAAAATGCAACTTTGATAAACCAGTAACCTGAAGTATTTTGATAAGATATTTAAGAGTTTCATGATGTATTTTATGAAAAATTTCACTAATTTTGCATTTTACCTTCCTTTCCACTTCTGGTAAATATGGAATTGTAATGAGAGCAATAATATGGCATGTACCACACAGTCCATCCATTTTACTTGAGCATGAAAAAGACAAACAAAAACTTCCGAGATGAAAACGATGTGATCTTATTTGAAGGCTTTAAACAGCAGCATCTGTAAGTGCAATGTGATGAAGACCAACTCGATTATGCACCATTTCATGTCTGTCACTAAAATAAACAGCGTCACTGAAGAGCTTGATGAATAGAATCTACTGAGCAACAATGGCTGATTGAATAAAAGATTACTTTAAATGTTTAAAAGATTAAATGTTCCTGTGATTGGGAGAAACTACCTAGTCGATTTAACCTAGTGTTTCCCAAGCAAATACAGAATGGAGTCATCTAATGCATGTTATACATGTGACTGTAATGCTGGTTAAATTAATTTAGCTCCAAAATGACTACAAAAACATGCCGGATTCAGAAAGCCCAGCTGGCAATAATGTAGCCCTCTCTGAGGAGCTTCTATGAGAATCTGTTTAGTAAAGAGGGGTGACCTGACTAGTGCCAGTTTTCAACATTTGGTTAGAGGCTCTCCAAACCATGGAGGTCCGCTCACTCACACAAGCCTAGAGATACATGATAGTTCTGGTCCATGCAGACTAGAAATCATGTTTGAAATAGAAGCACCTAGCGTAAAACTGAGACCCAAAAAGATGTTACAAAATGCAACTTTGATAAACCAGTAACCTGAAGTATTTTGATAAGATATTTAAGAGTTTCATGATGTATTTTATGAAAAATTTCACAAATTTTGCATTTTACCTTCCTTTCCACTTCTGGTAAATATGGAATTGTAATGAGAGCAATAATATGGCATGTACCACACAGTCCATCCATTTTACTTGAGCATGAAAAAGACAAACAAAAACTGCCGAGATGAAAACGATGTGATCTTATTTAAAGGCTTTAAACAGCAGCATCTGTAAGTGCAATGTGATGAAGACCAACTCGATTATGCACCATTTCATGTCTGTCACTAAAATAAACAGCGTCACTGAAGAGCTTGATGAATAGTCCAAAAGCCTCCCGAGTGTTTAACCTCTTGAACCGTTTTTGTTAAACTCAAGCTTGTATCCATTTATTTAATAATGTTAAGAACCACTAAATACAAGAAGAGATGCAAAAGCTGGGATGAATTTAAAGTAATGCATTTATGTGCATGTCCAAACAAGACATCATAAACAAGAAAAACCAGTCTACAGCTTTTACATTTAAAGTGAGCCTGATGTGTCAGGAAACATTGTGGGAAACGCATAAACAATCGACTGAAGGGATTAGCAAAAACATTTTATCATATTGTTTGTTCCATGTAATTAATTTCTTTCCCTTCATCACTATCAAACAGTCAGTATCATCATTATGAAGCATCTGTGATTTAGAACATGTTTGACTTATCTGAAGTTCTTCATGGGTGTCTAAAGAGGAGAACTGAGTAGTTAATACTAGTTTGGAATATTTAAGAGAACAGGTTAGGACTGGATTTTTCTGGAACCATTGAATTGCGCACTAACTCGGAAGAAGTTAGCATGCATGAAATAATGGTGAAAAGATGTCTTTAAAATGTGTGTGTCCAATCACAAAATGACATATAGGTCTCCGAGTTGGTCCTAATTTAAATTCAGACAGCCCACTGATTAGTGCTTAATATTCTCTTCATATTTCAGACTCCAGATGGCCCCTTGCAGATTTCCTGTGCCCTATCTGGCTCTTTCTGGATGTCTTGTTCTCAACTGCCTCCATCATGCACCTGTGTGCCATCTCCCTCGACCGCTACATTGCGATCAAGAAACCAATCCAGCACAGCCAGTACAAGTCCAGAGCTAAAGTGCTGGCTAAAATCGCACTGGTCTGGCTAATCTCTATAGGTATGTCACAATGATGAAAAACACTTTGGAAAACAAATTACATGTGTTCAGTATTTTCCTTCACCACTCCTGGAAGAGTCTGGAATAATCTTGAATCGTGTCCTTTATAAACAATTGTGAATTAATCCTTTAAATATTCACATCTACTATAAAAACGAAAGGAAATATTGGCTTTACAGATGCAGGGAATTTCCATTTTCAATTTTATAAACACAAACACCACAATTTCCTTCCAGAAGATGAAGAGGCTTATACGGTTTCAAAAATGGGAACAAACTCAAATCTAGTGTTTCATTACCTACATTTAACCAAATGTAAAATTACAGCTTTATACAAATGTGGCAAAATCCAGTCCTTGAACGCCAAACCGATCAATGATCTCAACACTCGTCTCCGGAAAAGTTGCATACGCACAAATTTTATTTATCTCATGTCACTGACTGACCAGGGAGCTTCCGTTTATACAAGCAAAAAGATCGGGTTTTAGTTATACGTGGACGCTGGATTGTGGGGGGTGAAACGAAAGTAAACACCTTGCGATTTCTACTCGTTAACATCAGTCCAGATGATGACTTTGGCTGCGTTGTTTTGGACTAGCTCGACGCACGTTCTGGAATCATGAAGCCATTTCTCCACCATGAAAGGCAGGCCACGATCTGTGTCACTTCAACACTGACCATGAACACCAAGTCCCTGTGCACTCCTGAGAACGACTTCGCATATTCTCACCTTTGACAAAGCAGTTTTACGGTTTAACAGGAGCTGATGGTTATAGATACTTGAAGTGAGAGAACTCAAGTCTAAGATGTGTTATTGATGTTGTACCTGCTATTATTGGTAATGAATGGCAAATGCATTCGCAATTCCACTTGTTATCACAAGACATCTCCTGCTCTTTTTAATTGTATTTCTTATGTGAACACCTTAAGGGAGGTCCGCTCACTCACACAAGCCTAGAGATACATGATAGTTCTGGTCCATGCAGACTAGAAATCATGTTTGAAATAGAAGCACCTAGCGTAAAACTGAGACCCAAAAAGATGTTACAAAATGCAACTTTGATAAACCAGTAACCTGAAGTATTTTGATAAGATATTTAAGAGTTTCATGATGTATTTTATGAAAAATTTCACAAATTTTGCATTTTACCTTCCTTTCCACTTCTGGTAAATATGGAATTGTAATGAGAGCAATAATATGGCATGTACCACACAGTCCATCCATTTTACTTGAGCATGAAAAAGACAAACAAAAACTGCCGAGATGAAAACGATGTGATCTTATTTAAAGGCTTTAAACAGCAGCATCTGTAAGTGCAATGTGATGAAGACCAACTCGATTATGCACCATTTCATGTCTGTCACTAAAATAAACAGCGTCACTGAAGAGCTTGATGAATAGTCCAAAAGCCTCCCGAGTGTTTAACCTCTTGAACCGTTTTTGTTAAACTCAAGCTTGTATCCATTTATTTAATAATGTTAAGAACCACTAAATACAAGAAGAGATGCAAAAGCTGGGATGAATTTAAAGTAATGCATTTATGTGCATGTCCAAACAAGACATCATAAACAAGAAAAACCAGTCTACAGCTTTTACATTTAAAGTGAGCCTGATGTGTCAGGAAACATTGTGGGAAACGCATAAACAATCGACTGAACAAATGCATACGCAATTCCACTTGTTATCACAAGACATCTCCTGCTCTTTTTAATTGTATTTCTTATGTGAACACCTTAAGAACCTAATCGGGATCAGATTAACCCCAGATAAGCTGAACTGTTCAGGGCTTCTGCAGAACCAATGAGTCTGGCAATCCACCAACTAGTAGCATTCCTTAAAAAAATAGAAAGTAACTGTCAAAAGCACAAAAAGTACTATTCAGTAGGCAGGCATTTACAAAGGAGATGACTAACTATGCAATAACCTAGTCCAGTGGTGCCTAATCCTGCTCCTGGATATCCACTATCCTGGAGAGTTTAACTCCAATGAGACCAGCTCATTTAGGTCCAAGTCCAGGCCCAGACCAACAGAGGCTGACTCAGAGTCAAGACCGAGACCAGAAGGAGGTTGACTTGAAGAGGGTCTGAATGATTCAGACAGTGTAAATGCTTTACTTTGGGATACATGAAATCTGGTCTTGATTACTACAATACTGACTCCAAATTGCTCCAACTGCCTTGACATTTCAAGTAACCCTGTGGACCATGTTTAGCAGGTTAAGGTATGTTTAATTAGAGCTGAAGTTAAACTGTAGGAATGTGACTCTCTAAAAGCAAGATTGGACATGCCTGAAGTAAATTTTAATTGGCTTGATAATTTCAATGTTTAATTTCAACCTTATTCCCTGCTCAATTTAACGATTGGTCTTTTTCCATTAGGTATTGCAATACCTATTCCAATCAAAGGGCTACAAGTCTTCGACCATCCAAACAACATCACCTTCAACAACAACCACACCTGTCTGCTGTCGCCAGAAGGCTTCGGGGACTTCAAGGTGTATGGGTCTTTGACAGCTTTCTTTATACCTCTTACAATTATGATGATTATCTACTTGCTGACAATCCAAATACTGCGCAAGAAGGCCTATCTTTTGAGAATGGGAGCTACAAGGCCCAGCATTTCCACCATCTTCAACCAGGAACTACCAGTTCTCTCTTCACCTGTGAAAGTGGCCAATGCAAATGGAATTAAAAGGGACCGAACACTGCGTCCCGTCACAAGGGATGAGGTCCCTCTCCGCAGGATGTCCACCATAGGAAAAAGGTCCATGCAAAACTTGAGCAATGAACAAAGGGCGTCAAAGGTTCTGGTGATTGTATTCATGTTGTTTGTTGTAATGTGGTGTCCTTTCTTCATTACCAATGTGACTTCTGTACTCTGTCAAGGGTGCGACAGTAATCTAGTGGAGCAACTGTTGGATATCTTTCAATGGGTGGGCTACGCTTCGTCGGGAATCAACCCCCTGGTTTATACACTGTTCAACAGGACGTTCAGGGAGGCCTTTAAGCGCTACATCACATGTAACTACAGCTCAGTGAGCAATGGCCAACTTTAACTTTGGCATGCAGGTTATTTTCTTGCCGTTGTATAAATACATTAAACTGTCTGAGATTTACCAGAGCATAACTCTGAAATACTGATATTACAATAAAACGTACAGCAGAACAGGAAACAAGAACAACACTGCAAGCTCTTTTGCTGCAAGTACAAAACCACTTATGGAAATGTCGCCACCTGGAGGAAATGCAGGACTGATGCCCTGCTCAACACAAAAAGAAAGAAAGAAAGAAAGCTACACTATGTATAATGTTTTTGTTTTTTCCTATCTATTAATATTTCTGTGTTTTTTATATATAAATAATTTAAACTTAATTATTTATCATGCGTTCCAAAATGAAAATCAGATTATGGCCTTGTTTGTTTGTTTTTTCAGAATTCAGTAAAAATACTGACCTAATAATATTTAATTATAATGTTTAATGATATCTAATCTAATAAAGCCCACACCATACATTTTTGAATGATATTCCTGATATTCAACTCTGCTGCCCTGACAAGGTTATTAAATAATTATATTATACTATATTATGTCTATAGTATATTATGTGTCTTCCCCTGATTTTAAAACACTTTTTCCCCTTTTTCATAAGTTACTTAAAAACTTGAAGAAAAAAAACAACTACATAAAACATTACAATCTAACCTTTTTTTCTTTCTTGTAATTGAGGAATGACCCTTATGTGTTTGCATCTAATAATTCTTATTGTTTGTAATATTTGCAAATGTAAGACTCACAGCCACGTGCAGCAGTCGCCGGATGGCTTTGTTGTTCCCAGAGCCGCAGTACGCCATGGCCACTGTGTACATTCCCGAACGGCGCAAGATGGGGTCCTGTCGGGACAGTGAGATGAAACAGAAGCTCAGTGTGCTGTCTGCACTGAAGACCAGAACCTCAAAACACAGTTAATATATTCACAGAATAAACAAAGCCTTCTGGAAACAGTTAAGACTGCGAAGAATTCATTCTGCTTGTTAGAGACACAATTAGCATCATTTAAAATAACCTAAAAAAGGTATGAAATATTACAATTTCATGAAAAGGATGCGATTAAGGGCAAGTACAAAAATGAATGTGATCTGAAATATAAAAAATAAAAAAAAAGTTTTTATTTTATATACACTATCGGTCAAAGGTTTGGGATCAGAACGATTTTAAATGTTTTTCTGCAGGAGTTTCTTCTGCTCATCAAGGCTGCATGTATTTGATCAAAAATACAGGAAAAATGTAATATAGTGAAATATTATTATGATGTAAAATAACGTTTTTCTATTTGAATATATTTTAAAATGTAATTTATTTCTGTGAGGCGCAGCTGTATTTTCAGCATCATTACTCCAGTCTTCAGTGTCACATGATCTTCAGAAATCATTCTAATATGCTGATTTATTATTATTATTATCAATGTTGTGCTGCTTAATATTTTTTGGGAAACCGTGATACTTTTTCCAGGATTCTTTGATGAATAAAAAGTTAAAAAGAAGAGCATTTATTTAAAATATAAATCTTTTCTGACAATATACACTACCGTTCAACAGTTTGGGGTCAGTACATTTGAATTCTTTCTTTTTTTGAAAGAAATTAAAACTTTTATTCAGCAAAGATGTGTTAAATTGTTAAGAAGTGATAAAGATTTATATTGTTAGAAAAGATTTATATTTTGAAAAAATGCTGTTCTTTTAAACTTTTTATTCATCAAAGAATCCTATAAAAAGTATCGCAGTTTCCAAAACAATATTTGGCAGCACAACTGTAGCAAACATTGATAATTCTAATAATAAATCAGCATAGTAGAATCATTTGTGAAGGATCATGTGACACTTTATACTGGAGTAACGGCTGATGAAAATTCAGCTTTGATCACAGGAATAAATTATATTTTAAAGGATATTAAAATAGAAACCATTATTTCATATTGTAATAACATTCTGCAAGATTTCAAATAAATGCAGCCTTGATGAGCAGAAGAGACTTCTTTTAAAAAAACATTACAAGTCTTACTGAACTTTTGACCAGTAGTGTATGTATGCATGTCTGTAAATATACATATACAAATAAAAAAAATAAACTCAGTGCTCACCTTATCTCTACATAGACTCTCAATTAGAGCATCGGCCTCTTCCATCCTTCCGTACATTACCATGGCGATGCCGACAGCAAGTCCACGCAGGATCTTTTCATGCTGGGTCTCTTGAGCGTAGCCCACCATGTCCTCAATGGCCTGGGCTGACTTTGAGCCCAACATCACCAGCCCCAGAGCAAGACCAGACGCCTCTCCTGTGACAACACCAATCAACAAGTTGACAGTGAGCTGAACCTAGAATTACAGACTGATTGCCATGATGATAAAGTGTTCTGGGTGGTTGCCCAAAATTCGACCAATAGTAACAGTGATGCTTGCGTTCATGAAAACTACTGATAAAGATTAACTAAAGGTGCCAAAATCAGATGACAATAAATTACGTATAAGATGTTGGACATGCCTGTTACTGCATCATCTTGATAGAGGTTTGATTTGAGCAGATCGTAGACATCTTGGCGAGCAGTGCCCAGGGCAGCTAACCCGAGACCCAGAGCGCCACCATGACGAACAATCTGGACGAAAAAATAGAAAGAATATAAAGTATTATTCCTGCTTTTTGGAGTTGCAGTGCAGTGAAACTTTATTTGAACGTGATTATGCACATACATCATTACTAGCATTCTTTAGCTGGCTTAGAAGGTAGTCGATGATTTCGCCTCCGTGATTAGCGTGGATCAGCCCAAGGGCATATAGCCCTCCTCCTTCCTGATAGGCTGATCCAGGTGAGGTGTCTTTGGGCAGGTAAGTCGCCATTAACTGTAGTGCCTCCTTTTCATGGCCCTGGACACAAATGCAAGTAAATTTAACAAATGAAAATAAACAAATAATGATATTACATTTTTTTATGAAGAAAAAAAAACAAATTTCAATCACTTTCCACAAGCAATACAAAATATGAGCTTCCTGCTACGTTGAAATGTCCCATTTTTTTGTAATGCCAGAAAGTAGTGCCATAACAATAAACTGAATCAACTCAATACGCCAAAATTGTAACGTTTAATTTAAATGTCGATCTCTGGACAGTCAAAAAAACCAAACAAACAAAAACACTATTTTATATATATATATAAAAAAATGTATTAATTATAATTACTAATATTAAAATGGTTTTAATAGTTCTCACTACAAACATCTAAAACAAATATCTAAATACACAAAAAAACATCTAAAACAAACTAACAAACAAAAACATCCTAAATCTAAAACTAAACAAAATCACACAAACATTTGAAACAAACAAAAGCAAACAAACATACATCTAAAATATAACAAACAAACATCTTAAATAAACAAATATCTTAAATTCAAAACAAAAGCAAGCAAACATGCAAAACAAACAAATATGAATGCAAACAAACACCTAAAACAAAAGAAAAACAAAAAAAAAAAAACATTTAAAACTAAAGCAAACAAATATCCTAAAAGGGAACAAATGCAAACATCTAAAGCAAAATGAGCACACAAACATGTAAACCAAACATCTACAACAAACACCAAACTGTGCTCTTTTTGTGGAAAGTGCCTTGAGCATATATGATGATGCTAACCTTGTGAATGACGCCAAGACTGGCTGTTGCAGTGAATTTGGCCCAGTTAGTTGCTCTTGCCAGCCACTCCAAATTCTCTCTGTAAAATAAAATGGCAATTACCATAATCAGTTTTCTTGTTGTCAGTATCAAGAGGCCAAATTTCCATTAGCGAGACGAAGCATGTGAATGTGCTTTACCGTAGAAACTGGTCACTTGTTGTTCCCGTGTGCATGAATGAGTTTGCGATGACCGTCGCTGTGTGACACACCGAATTTCGCACCGCATCCTGAAATAAGTCAGGAATAAAAATATACCAAGCTCGTGAAGTGGAGAATGCCTACATCTGGGATTTGATTCATATTAAATTTACTTGAGCTGATATCAAAGACCATCAGAGGCTTTAATCAGTTCAAGAGCTGGTTTCTTCTCACCTTTGTGTTTTTGAGGATCATCAGATCTGCGTTGTTGTTTCGAATGAGGAACTGAAGGTGCAGCTCAATGGCCATTTCACCACTTAGTATTTTGATCATTTTTGAGTTCTGGTCTTTTGGCTCACTCTTCTATTTAAAGGAAAAGAATAATGAAACATGTTTCTATAAGCATGGTATCTGATGAGCTAAAAGTCTTAAAGTGATGACTCGCCACATCAGCAGCCTTTCCAGCAGGAGAACTGCCAGCTTTATCCTCCGTCTCCATCACATCACTGAAACAATAACAACACATTTAATTATGTTCTCAATCATCTTATTAAATCTTCTCATATTTCAACGTTTTTGTTTAAATATTCCTCAAGGATGCGAGTTACAGTGAAGGAACTTCACCATAACTAAAGAGAAAATGAAGCCTATTTTTAGGATTTATGATTTTTTGCAGTGACGTGTGTAATTCTCAATGACTTATTACTGTATATATTTTTTTACTGCCTTGCAGTAGAAAACATTGTACAATGATACATTTTTTTTTAAAACAGCATAATTTAAAAAAATAGCACAATAAAATCTGTCATGATACATAAGAACAAAAGTTATTTTTCACATTAAAATAAATGCAAACTTCGGGGGGAAAATAGGCTTAATTTTCTTTTAAAAAAGTAATTATTTTATTGTCATTTTAAAGTTTTACAATAAAATATATACAGTCATTCTCAATGACTTATTACTGTATACATTTTATTACTGTATATATATATATATATATTACAGTCTTGTAGTAGAAAAAATTTTACAATGATTAAAAAAACAAACAAAAAAAACAGCATAATTAAAAATAAATAGCACAATAAATACTGTCATGATACATAAGAAAAAAAGTTATTTTTCACATTAAAATAAATGAAAACTTCGGGGGAAAATAGGCTTAATTTTCTTTTAAAAAAGTAATTCTATTCAGTGTTTCCCCTAGTTTTACTGCTTTTGGGGGGTAGCTTTTTAATGGTTAAATGACATTTTATTAATCAAAAAGCATGTCTAATTAATTAAAATCATGAAACTTAAACAATTTAACATCAATTTATTAAAAGTTTAACAAATATTACGTTTAGGGCCCTATGAAATGTTTTATTTGTCCAACCTTATGTTTTACTGTAACCAAATTCTGTTTTAGCATGTCTAATTTGAAAGCATAAAACAAGTTTCATTTATTCTTACAATAGCCTTATGATTTTTTTTTGCTCAGAAATTCTGTGTTGTGTATTTACATTTTGTTTTAAGGCATAAAACATTCATTTAATCTATCTTTTAAGTAATGAAAATTAAACAAATTAATTTTTTGGGAAAATAAAGGTCATTTAATATTACAATTAAAACATTGAAGAAATATTTCTGCCAATGCCCTCAAGTTAAACCGAACTTTTATTTTGACAGGTTGCCGTGAATACCATTAAATTTCTGTGTGTATATGATATGAGGATAGTTTTACTGAAATGAAACGATCAAATGCTGATGAAGTGACTCTCAGAGCAGTTCTGGAGATGTTGTTAGTGTATTTATGTCCTCATTAGTGAGACGGCAGAGGTTAATATCACCGGAAGCGTCACGAGCGTTTCAGTATGAGTACTACACAAAACCGCGCGTCTGCGCCATTCATTAACACAGAGACACGCAGAATTCATATTTAAATATGAATCGGGGTGGGCTTACGTGTGTGTGTGTGTGTGTGTGTGTGTGTGTGAGCGCGCGCATCGGGCGGAACGCCGCTGTGCGTGATACAGAGAGTGTGACCATAACGTAGAGAGACTGAAATGACATGCCGTCCTGTAAATAAGATAAATAACATAAGGCGATTTAGTTTGCTTAATGAAAGAACAAGGTATAGACATGTTCTATAAGAAAGGTAACTTTACATGACTTCTGTTGTGATCTGGCGCTATAGAGAAAATATAATTAAATAAAATTAACTTGACCTTCAAGGTGGGCGGGGGGTGCCGTTGGGGGGGCGGGCCGCCCCCCTAAAATAATGGCAGGGGAAACACTGATATTTTATTGTAAAATTTTAAAGTTTTTAATTTAAACAAATTTTACATTTTATTTATTTTTTCATATATTCTCTGATTAACTGACATCAGTGCAACGTGACAGTCTCAAAAAGTGATAATAGCATTTCCGTGTTTTCACGCACACTTCGCTAAAGAAACATTGTAAACTTGACCCTCTCATGAATACATATGACAGCTGGCCAGAGGCAATTATTTCTAGTTAAGAAAATGACCATTTGTTTTTGTAAGACACTGATTCATCTGCTGGGGTCGTATGGATTACTGTCATGATTGCTGTATGTGTTTTTGAAACGTCAAAATTCTGGCACCCATTTATCTGCATTACACACAGATAAGATATTTTCTAAACTGATTTATCAGTTGTTCTCTCATACACCAATGATACACCAATATGGAAGCAGTAACATGTGTACCTGTCTTTGTCTTGGGTGGGCACGGTGCCTGTGTTGGTGGATCCGGGCACGGCGGGGATGGGTGTGCCCACGGTCCGCAGGTTCTGAATGACAGAGGACAGGAACTGCTGGCTGGCGCTCTCATACAGGTCAAAGCAGATCTGATAGGCCATCAGGAGGTTACCATCTTTCACAAGCTTCTCCAATATATCGCTCACGGCTTGAGGGTCGTCAAGGAAAATCAGACACTATGATGAAAAACAACAGCGTCAGAGAGGAATCTCTGAACGCACAGCAGGATAAAGATCAACCCGCTCAGGACAGGTCACCTGGCAAACGTTAATGAAGTCAGGCTTCTCCAGGTTCATGTACAGCTTGACGAGAACTCGGAGAACGTCGTTACGAAACTTCTTGTTCTGCATGAGGGACATGCAGATCTTCAGGCTGTAGGCCAGCAAACCAGCAATGTCATTCTGTAGGAAACCAAACAAGGCCTGAAAACTGGTTCTGACACAGCTCATTAACATATGCCTATATACACACATATATATTTTTATTTTTTTTTTCCTTTAAATACTGTCCACAAAATCAAAGTCATATGGTGCAAGAAGTGGCAAAATGTCACATGGTGCAACTTCCATCAAAAGTGTATTAATATTCTATTATTAATATTCGATGTAAGACTGTGCAGATAAATAGCATACAGATTCCAGGATGGTTTTCTCAAAGATGTCTAAGCGTCGAGTCTCCAGCGCGATGCCGATGGCTTGTTTGTACATATGATCTCCCAGGCAGCGCTGGAACATCTTGTTGACGATTCCCTCCAGACGAGGATCGATGCTTTTCTTCTCCTCATCCTCTGGCAGCTCGGCATTCTCAACACGCAGTTTGGTGTAATGATCAATACACTTGGCTGATGGGCAAAAGGATAACACAATGAAAAAGGCTGGTAAGTCTCTTCTGCTCACCAGAGCTGCGGTTATTTGATCAAAAAAAACTGTAAAAACTATAATATTGTGGAAAAATTATGATGATTTAAAACAGCTGTTTTCTATGTGAATCTCTGCTAAAATAATAATTTATTTCTGTGATGCGCAGCTGTATTTTCAGCATCATTACTCCAGTCTTCAGTGTCACGTGATCTTCAGAAATCATTCTAATATGCTGATTTGCTGCTCAAGAAACATTTCTGATTATTATCAATGTTGAAAACAGCTGCTTAATATTTTTTCAAGCTTCTTTAATGACTCTAAAGTTCAAAAGCACAGCATTTATTTGAAATGTAAATCTTTCACATCATTATAAATGTCTTTACTGACTTTATAATAAAAGTATTAATTTCTTTCAAATAGATTCACTTACCAATAATGGTCTCCACATATTCGGAAACGTCACTGACGTTGAAGAGATCTCCAGCGCCCAGAGCGTAGTTTAAAGACTCCTCAAAAGCCCCGAGGTGGTAAAACACTTTAGAGGCCACCAGCGCAGCAAACGCTCTGCTACGAAACGTCTCGTCCTCATACAGGACCTCGCTGACAGAGAAAAACACGGTTCATCACTTCAAAAGTATCTAAACATTCATATGAAATGTTTCAGAAATTGTTAATCACTTTTACACTACAGTAGTATTATTGTAATGGTAACACTTCTTCATTAAAAATGATATAATTTAAATAAAATAAAAAACTAAATAAAAAGCACTAAATAAATATATATATATATATATATATATATAGCATTTTTAAATAATGTATTATTATTATGATTATTATTACTCATTTTTACAGTTTAATAGTATTTTTATACTTCAATAGTATTATTGATTTAGTAATTTCTTCTTTTAGCTTTATGATTTGAAAAATAAAATGAAAGTAATTTTGAATTAGAATTTTAATCATGATCATGTCAAAGTAAATCAATAAAGAAATATAACACTATTGCAATAATACTACTGTACTGTAAAAACAAAAGACGAGCAATTAATAACAAGGAGAGTTGTTATTATTATCCGAAATGATATTTTTGATTTAAACTCTAATATTTTAAACAATATTAATAATACATATATTACTATTGCAATATTGCGACTGTGCTGTAAATAAATATTTAATTATTATTAAAATGACAAAAAAAAACAGTGAATAAATATTACTATTTCATTTCTACTGTCGTATTAAAAAACAAATACAAGTAATTAATAATAATCAGTGGTAGTATTTAAATGTATAAACTTAAATTATAAAAAAAATGAGAAAACCACTAAAGCAATGTATTACTAATCTCACTATTACACTGTACAATAAAAACGAGTACTTGATCATAATAATTTAGTTTACAGAACTGCTGTAAAACTACAATATTACAACAATCATGTTCTTTTTTTTCATCCAGATTCATGCAGTTCACATGGGCTACACTTCTCAATTATTAGTAGTACTATTACTAATAATTAAAAAACACAACCCTGCTTACAACAGGTTCGAACCACATTCAGATGAGCTCATAGCCATTTTTTTGGCTGCAATTCTCTTCTAAACCAATCAGTCACTGCTACTTACATTTTGTCCACAGACTCTGAGATCTCAGCCCAGAAGTCATTGACGATGGCGTTAAGTTTCTGTAGAGCAAACTCCTTTAAAAGAAGAAGAGAAGCTCGTGAATCTGAATCTGTATCTGTAGAGCTGTGTTGTGACTGAGCTCCTGCTGTACCTTGAGCTGCGGCTCCTCTTCATCCAGGAGGGAGATGATCCCAGCTGCAGAACAGCAGAAACACCAGTTACTGCCTTCTCCTGCTTGCTGTCTCTATATCGGTCTAGCAGCCTATCTATCCATCTGTCAGCCATACCAGTCCATAAGGACAGTGGCATTATTACAACCTCGCACACCCGTTTGACTTACAAATAACAGTGTTGTACAGTAAAGACAATGTTGAGACGCATATAACACACTACCGTTTTAATACAACACGCCAGTTTCTTAGTTTCGGTTGCTGATGTAAACAAACCGCTCAATGTCACGCGAAACGACATTAGCAAACAATTACACTCTCACCGCTGCATTTAGGCGCTAAAGTAGTACATATAGCGTAATTACAAGAGTACGTGTATTTGCGTCAAGCACAAATAAAGTCGTAAAGCTCATTAGACTCGTGCGCCGCGTTAGCCGTTAGCCGCTAGCTGTGTGACTCAGCTAAACCAAACGCACTCTTTCCCGTTCACTCGCAAGCACTCACCGGCTGAAGTGATCATGTCTGTTTGTGACGGTCACCGGATCTCCTCCAGCACACGGATTTAAACACACAAACAGTCAGTAGAAGAAGAAAGTCTATTTCACTCTCAATGAAGCTGTGTGTATTACACAGCAGCGGCGGCGGTGGTGGCACAAACTCATCTGAAGATGAGCGCTGCTGCGGGGCGCGCCGAAAACTGCGCCTGAAAATATGATGTGGCGTTTCGTATGCAGTCACACTGCAGAATGCATGAACGTGGCAGTTAGCAAAACGACTGTTTTTAATGGGTAATATCAGTTATTTTCAAATGGATATATTGGTGGGGCAAGAATAAAAAAGAAATGTTTCCAGACAGGCTTTGAGGCGGTCAACCCTACAGCGGCTCTTCTTCTGTGCCGTTCAGAAAGCAGCTCGTGACGCTGTGGCTGATCGAGCCGCTCGGTGGTGCAACATGGAACACATTTCCTTCTTTCTTTCTTTTTTAATCTGAAAAATAAATAAGTAAAGAAATAAACGCAACGTAGCCTGATGTAACTCTTCCTTTATTCAACATTATGTCTTGTATAGGACTGAAAACGTTTTGAATGGCTCAAATGAATTCCCTTCTTTGCTTCAGAATCACATGAAGGAATCGTGCTTGAATAAATCAATTAAAGATGAAAGAAAAGTCGAAAAGAAAAAAATACATGTTACACAAATTAGTGAACACAAATAAGTGAAATTGGTTCAAATTAATTAATGAATTAATTCTTTTTTTCTCGCAATTCTGAGTTTATATCTTACTTTTATCTACCAATTCTAACTTGAAACTCGCAGTTCTGAGAAATTGTGAGATAAACTCAGAATTGTGAGAGAGAAAAAGTCAGAATTGAGATTAAGAAATCGTTTATTTATTTATTTGTTTTTCTCTCTTTCTTTTTCGTGGCAAAAAAAATCAGCGAAAATGACGAAAATATTTATCAAAAGACATTGAATTCCTTGGTGAATTATATAAAGTCATGTACGAGTGTCTGTCTTTCTAAGATTTTGTAAAGGTGTGTTTTTGTTGTTTGTATTTTTTCTTGCAACCCCCCTTTTCTTGTGAAAAAGTGAGTGAGTGTGTGAGTGAGTGAGTGTGTGTGTGTGTGTGTAAGAGTGAGTGAGTGTGTGAGTGAGTGAGTGCGTGCGTGCGTGCGTGCGTGTGTGTGTGAAAGAGTGAGTGAGTGTGTGTGTGAGTGAGTGAGTGTGTGAGTGTGTGTGCGTGTGAGTGTGTGTGTGAGAGTGAGTGAGTGAGTGAGTGTGCGTGCGTGTGAGTGTGTGTGTGTGTGTGTGAGTGTGAGAGAGAGTGTGAGAGTGTGTGTGTGTGTGTGTGTGAGTGCGCGT